TAAATTCATTTTCATAAAAAAATATATTCTTTGGTTTTCAAGGGTGGATCCCAATTTCTTTTGTTTTCTCTTAGATAAAAGAAATGCATTATCTTCCCTTTGGCATTGAACAAGAGATTAACTATAAACAGTTTGGGTTTAAACAAACACTTCGGGTGTACTCTAACAATTGCAAGCGGAGTAGTCCTTTATGCGTAAAATTAAAAGAGGTAACTCAGTTACAATATTATTTTAACATATTAAAATTAAATGATACACTCATCATTTATATTTTTACTTCGTATTTCAGTTAAAGGAATACTAAGTCTTTCTTTGTAAATTATATTATTTTACTCTTGTCAAAAAATAAATGTTTACATTCAAAAACATTAACTAAAGCTGTTTATCACCATTAAATCATGGGATATTCTAGTCAATAACACGTGAGTATGACACGAATACAAAACACCATCCTCTTTGAATTGTAAATCTTCTTAGAGTTAACAAATCGTGCATATCACAAGTCTCACAAACCGATTTACAAGTATACGAAACACGATCACGGATTTATTTAAGAGGTTTATCAAGAGTTCCTGAAATGATAATCTTTATTATTGTGTCAGTTTCCAGCCAACAAGACTGAAGATTTTATCACAGAATATAGACGGTATTAAGGGCTTTTTAAGCTATTAAGCTTACTCGACCTAAGTTATCATTACAAATGTCATAAAGATAAGTCCTTAAACAAGCACTTTACTTCAGTAATGTTATTCTCCACAAGGGTGACATAGAGGGAACGCACTACATACAGCTTTTAACTATAACCATCGGCACTGCAATTAATATTATTGAATTGTTTTATTATTTTACTAGTAGAGTGAGTGCACAAGTGAATCCGTTTAAGCTTGAGTTTCGACATTATCTGACATGGGAAATTAGGCTATTGTAGTTACAGTGTGAAAAATAGTGTCAACGTCCAGTCCATATTTTCCTCAACTATAATGAAACATAATGTTTGTTCAAACATTGTGATCGGTTGCGTGACCTCTTCAAAATATCTCAAAATTATATTTGCCCTATTTAAATATTTAGGAGTCTAGGAGTAAAGGATCTACGCGTTATTCAACTAGTATTATCTTGTCAGCAAATATTCGACGTGGGTATGATTAAATTCTTATATGTTACACCCAATTGTAGGTATTCTCAACGTACAATGATAAAAGACTAAATATAGAAAAAAAATATTTCTTAACGTAGGCTTAATAATGTATTCTACTTTACTAAGTTTAATCCGAACTGTTTAAAATGATCATTGCACTATTGCGTAATGGTCTAAAAATACAATTTGAGCCAGTTTGGCCTGATTCAAGGTTTATTTTCGACTGTTCCAAACCCACGACGTTGTTCGACGACTAATTAAGGGAACTGATGAATGACAACTGTCAATGACGACGTTTCGAGCTCAGAATAGTGACAGATTTGATTGTTTATAAAAACTCTGAATAACGATCTAGTGAACAGACCATCTGTTTCTCTGGGGGGAAAATAAACAATTGGCGAATAAGCATTGGTCTATATTCGGGCCCAATTATTATTTATTATTGAGAAAATTTTACAAACTTCATCTTAACACTGGTTTGTAGGCAATATTACATCGTTTGTTTCATAAGTCGAACTTGTTTCAACAGATTGCAAGCGTTGGTAACAAAATAAAAATTCCGTCCCTTAAACTATTTATATAGCAATAAACCTAGGTACTTGTGTAACCCAATGTTATTTAAAAAGATTTAATTGAAATTCCATTCAGGGAAATGGAAATTAATATACATTTTTATTTTATTATAAGCAATCGTTATTGTTTATTTTTTTACTATGTACAACACAAAGATACAGTACACACAAGAAACAATAACCACCTTAGGTTAGAACCTATGTTGTTGGATACACTTGCTAAAGAGTACATCCCCAACAAATTCGTTTAGTCTGTAGGTTTGCTGCGGCGGGAGTAATAATTTGTCCTATAATTTTAGGATGTAAAGGTAAATCTACTCCAATGATTAACAAGATTGGGTTTTAAGAATATATTTAACAAAAGAAATTATATTGATATGTATAACTAGATATATAGCAATTTATTTAACTAATATTAAAGGGATACACTACTCATATATCAAAGCATTGTAATTTTTGGTTAGTTGTTAGCATATAGTTTATGACTTTTGTCTTCTTAATCAACAATGTTTTCTGGTATGCGGCGTCGATGTAAATTTAATAACATCCAGTTTTATGTGACACCCTAAAATTATGAATTTCACTCTTAGGGCCATTTAAATCTAATGAAGAAAGTTGCTGCATCATAAAGCAATATTTGCGTACCAAAATTAAAGGCAGGTAAGTTAAACCTTACCAGTTCTATAGAGTAAACTTAAATAAATTACCATTCATAATGAAAGGTAAATCTTCGAAGATTTATTTCATGAAATTATTACCGTGCACTACAAAATCATGTTATTTACCAATAACCCCTAAGGCAAGGGATACGTTACAATGTGTTATTTTTTACTTAAAATAATTACAGTAGGCTGTTACTTTTTTGTCGCAATGAAAAACACACCCCACCGTGTTTTACAACGGTAGAAAAATATTTTTTTTTCATTTATCATTTTATTTAAATATATCCATTAAACCCATTCTTGTTAATATTGTACTTTAAAATAACCATAACTAATGTTTTTAATACTTAAGTAGAATGTATAACTTAGAAAAATCTTAAATAGGCCTACTGTTAAATATTTTCAATTACTTTTGCACAAGTAAAAACTGCAACACTATCACTGCTTAAAGTTACCATGTAAAATTGTATAATAAAATAAGGGACTAATAAATATTGTACTTAACCCTAATCCCTTCATATCTTTCTAATTTTGCTTCCTAAGCAAGGATACATGTTGATTTTACCAAACAAAAATGAATGGTGTAGAAAAATGCAAACTCTCCGGGTGATTGTTTCTTTCTGGCTGCAAGATAAATGACGTGTAGTTTTTGTCATTAGTATAAAACATATCGATTTCCGTTTGAGCCCCGTAATGAACGAACTGTTTTGGTGATTTATTATGGGTTAATCCCGAGCGTAACACGGCCCTATATCATTGCTTTGCAGAAATTATTTGTGAGGAAATACTCTTTTCGGTTTTTACATAACACACATGATTTTGAAAACACGTAGTCTCCTCTATGAACGATTTGGTTGAGTACACAATTTAAAGTACCACGTAGCCATTTACCAAATTACACCTGCTGTATTTTTTTTTTAAATTACTTCTGCAGTATTTATCCGATTCCGGAATAGTTACACAAATGACGGACCAAAAGTCTGCTCTATTATGGACAATATTTGTACAAGCTGGCACCACACGTTTATTATACTGTATGTTACAGTGTTACAGAGTGAGTTTGTGACAGAGAGAGACGAACGTCTCAAGTTCATCTCTGGGTTCAGTGGCAGTTACGGCGTTGCTATGGTGACGGACCGTAAGTCCGCTCTGTGGACCGAGTGTAGCTATCTGCTACAAGCTGGTAATACATGTGTAATATACTGTGTGTTTCAGAGTGAGTTTGTGGCAGTTCATCTCCGGGCTCAGTGGCAGCTACGGCTCTGCTGTGGTGACGGACCTTAAGTCCGCTTTGTGGACCGAGTGTAGATATCTGCTACAAGCTGGTAATACATGTGTAATATACTGTGTGTTTCAGAGCGAGTTTGTGGCAGTTCATCTCCGGGTTCAGTGGCAGTTACGGCGTTGCTGTAGTAACGGACCTTAAGTCCGCTTTGTGGACCGAGTGTAGATATATGCTACAAGCTGGTACCACTCGTGTAATATACTGTGTGTTACAGAGTGAGTTTGTGGCAGAGAGAGACGAACGTCTCAAGTTCATCTCCGGGTTCAGTGGCAGCTACGGCGTTGCTGTGGTATCGGATCTTAAGTCCGCTTTGTGGACCGAGTGTAGATATCTGTTACAAGCTGGTACTACACGTGTAATATACTGTGTGTTACAGAGTGAGTTTGTGGCAGAGAGAGACGAACGTCTCAAGTTCATCTCCGGGTTCAGTGGCAGCTACGGCGTTGCTGTGGTATCGGATCTTAAGTCCGCTTTGTGGACCGAGTGTAGATATCTGTTACAAGCTGGTACTACACGTGTAATATACTGTGTGTTACAGAGGGAGTTTGTAGCAGAGAGAGACGAACGTCTAAAGTTCATCTCAGTGGTAGCTACGGCGTTGCTGTGGTGACGTACCGTAAGTCCGCTTTGTGAACCTAGTGTAGATATCTGCTAAAAGCTGGTACTACAAGTGTAATATACTGTGTGTTATAGAGCGAGTTTGTAGCAGAGAGAGACGAAGGTCTCAAGTTCGTCTCCGGGTTCAGTAGCAGTTACGGTGTTGCTGTGGTGACGGACCGTAAGGCCGCTTTGTGGACCGAGTGTAGATATCTGCTACAAGCTGGTACTACAAGTGTAATATACTGTGTGTAACAGAGTGAGTTTGTAGCAGAGAGAGATGAACGTCTCAAGTTCATCTCCGGGTTCAGTGGTAGTTACGGCGTTGCTGTGGTGATGGACCGTAAGTCCGCTCTGTGAACCTATTGTAGATATCTGCTAAAAGCTGGTACTACACGTGTAATATACTGTGTGTTACAGAGTGAGTTTGTGGCAGAGAGAGACGAACGTCTCAAGTTCATCTCCGGGTTCAGTGGCAGCTACGGCGTTGCTATGGTGACGGACCGTAAGTCCGCTCTGTGGACCGAGTGTAGATATATGCTACAAGCTGGTACTACGAGAGTAATATACTATGTGTTACAGAGTGAGTTCGTAGCAGAGAGAGACGAACGTCTCAAGTTCATCTCTGGGTTCAGTGGCAGCTACGCTACGTCGTTGCTGTGGTGACGGACCGCAAGGCCGCTCTGTGGACCAATAGATATCTGGCACAATCAAGTACTACAAGTGTAATATACTGTGTGTTTCAGAGTGAGTTTGTGGCAGAGAGAGACGAACGTCTCAAGTTCATCTCCGGGTTCAGTGGCAGTTACGGCGTTGCTGTGGTGACGGACCGTAAGGCCGCTCTGTGGACCGACGGCAGGTATCTGCTACAAGCTGATAATGAGCTGGGATGTGACTGGCTGCTAATGGGACGCGGGGAGGTTCAGGTAATAAATACATATTATTAACTAATTAAATGCCTTATTTAATTCTTTATGAGGGATGAAATTTGTTATCTTCCTATTCTATGAAAGTATGTAGGCATATCTTTAAATCATGTCAATTTATATAACAATTTTGTAAAAATAATATTTTTAAAGACGACGTTTTAGTAGTGAGCTGATGCCATAACATAACCTTTTATGACAGAAAAATGAATATACCATGAGTAAGCAAATTAATAAACGAGTATAGGGCCGAGTGCCAGTTGCCTAAAAACTTTGACGTGGGTCATTTTACAGCCTGAGGCTTGGTGGTGCGAGTGCCAGCCAGGTATTAGTTTAGTGAGCGGTTCCACGGTGCGGCGGTTATGGGGGAGGAAAGATCGACCGGAGTTATGGGGGAGGGACAGGATGAACAAAACGTGTTTGAGGCATAAAATATCTGCAGCTATTATAACCAAACAAGCTGATTTTGAAACAATTGAATGAAGGTTTACTAATAGAATCGATATTTTTCAACCGATATTAGGGAAGCCCAGTTGAAACTGTACCCGGTCTCCGTTACTCGCCCACTTACACCCCCTAATTCTCACCTGAATCATTCTTACGCTCTGGGGAGCCAACGGCACTCGGGCCTGCCTGACGGTTTTGACATTTTATGACACCCACGGCAAATAGTCGGCACGTGCTCCCCTAAGACTGTAACTACCTACTAATTATTCATCATTATTCATAATCTCTTAACATACTCGTACACCATATAAAATTGTTGTACATGATAAAACCCCACTAGTAAAAATTACAGTATACAGCCGGTATACAGTGATAAATGCTATTCTTGCTTTTATAGTAATACTAGCTGACCCGGCGAACTTCGTATCGCCTAAGTTATAGGTTTCCCCTAAGACAGACCGATGGAAAGAAAGTACCGTTACGTTTAATTTTCAAGATGATCTCGTTCGCATCGCTCAATCACGTCCTGGTTGAAGTTCGTTCGCTACGCTCACTCACCTTTGGGTTGGAGCTCGTTCGCTACGCTCACTCACCTTTAGGTTGGAGCTCGTTCGCTGCGCTCACTTGCCTTCAGGTTAGCTCGTTCGCTACGCTCACTCGCCTCCAGGTTGAAGTTCGTTCGCTACGCTCACTCACCTTTTGGTTGCAAATTAGCTGTTGTCATAAATGTAAAAGAAATAATAGTGCTGCACCCTGTTGGTAATCCTTGTAACTTTAATGCTATTGAACATCATAGAACAGAACCAACTTGTTTAATTGAAACAGCTGTTAAGATTCATTAATTCCATTTCTCATAAGGTTAACATGGGAAACTCCAGAGCCACTGGGGCGGAGCCCTTTTAAGAATTTCGAAACGGGAAATAGTTTACGTCCGATTCGCATACCTACAGAATTTACACACCAAATTTCATAACGATCGGTGAAGTCGTTCCGGAGGAGTTTGCAGACAAACACTGTGACACGAGAATTTTATATATTAGATTTTAGTGCTTTAAATTCCATTGTAAAATTGGCTAGTTTAGAATAAAAAATAAACCGTTAATGAAACATTGAAACGATTACTCGTATTATATTCCTAATACTACACATTAAATATGTTTGGCTATTGTACAGCTTTGATTGACTTATTTTGTGCACATTCCACTACTAAATCATTTAACCCGATATATTTTCTTTGTAGTATCACAATACAATATGTAGTCCAAGGCCGCCAGGTGGGTTGTGTCAGTTATTAATACTCGGTCTCGGAGCGCGGTGTTCATTACGTCAGTCGTCTATCACTCCTGACAGACTGTGAAAGGGTTTATTTTCAATTCGCAACCCTGCAGTCGGGAATCATATTATTTCTGACACCTCATTTATCAGAGATCCTCGCCGGCCTAATTAGTCAACTTTACGCCTCTCCACTGATGAAATGGCGCTACCGACCACCGCTGCCACGTCCGCCCCTCTCTACCCCTCTCTTTGCCGTACTCTCTATTTTGTTTCAGTTCTTTTGCGAATGTTTATATTTGATCATTCAAACGTATATCTACTTCTTTTCAAATGTTGGATTAGCATACCTAACTTGGTTTTATTATGGCACAGCTTACATAATGGCTCAACAAAAAAATACTTTAATTATTATATACATCACATTTGTTAGGGACAGAAATCAACAGAAAAATGAGAAATTATATTTGAATATAATGTACACGTATTTTGAATTATCTAACTAAGTGGGCTGTAGTTAGATTATTTCCAAGTGAGGTTTGTGGAGTTATACAATTATCAATGTTAAACAGGTTAAATAAACGATTATACTAACTCATAGATTCAATTCATATTCCCTACTATATATCAATCAATATTTGACCAATAAACAAAGTATCTATATATTAATTTGAAACTGTTTTTCTTTGTGACAGCTATTTTGAGAGAGCGGCTGGGCGTAGAACTCGGTAGAGGTGTCTAAAGAAAGGTCCTGGTCTGTAGATGAGCCATCAAAAGAGAAACATGGAGAATTCCCTCGGGGCCCTGCCCCAGTGGCCTTTAAATTCCCATTCCATGTTATTCTTATGGAGGAAAACGAGGTTTTTGTCACAGCTAATTTGAGAGAATGGCTGGGCGTAGAAATTTGGTAGGGGTGTCTAAAGAAAGGTTTTGGTCTGTAGGTGAGCACTCAAAAGAGAAACGATGCAAATTTCCTTGGGGCTCTGCCCCAAAGGCCTTTAAAGTTCGCTCTGCAATTTTGTTTACATTTTGACCATATGGATAATTTTACACTACTTTTAATGAACCAGCTGTTAATATTAAAATTGTATTCAAAGGTCTACTGAAACTGTCAAAATTAAATGTTTACATTATTATTTATGATTTTAAATGGATTCTCCACTGCATGGCAAGTTTTTTATAGTTTCAACAAAATGATGAATTTATGATACGTTTGAAATGTTTTGTTCAAAAATCTATGCTTTATTGCTCTTAGAAAATTTTAAATTATGAAATAAGTGTGACTTATCAATTTCAAAGTAACATATAACTATTCCTTATCGGGTTAGCTTATACATAGTGTAAGGTTGGCACTTGCCTTTTTTTCCTACATTCAATCACCATTTATTTTTAAATTCAAGAAAGAACACCTGAGATTCATTTATTGGTATAACAGTTTTTGATAATCGGGTTGAAAATTGTGTCATAGATGAGTACGTTGAGGATGAGAGCTGTGTTCAAGTTTTGGAATAGACTAACTACGGAGTCTATGGTTTTGGTAAAGTAGGTGAACTAATGTCAATTCAGGTATTAAAAAAAAAGTGTACACAGTTTTTACTTTGATGTACACATGTAGCTAGGTTGAACAACGCATCTAAACCTCACTACATACAAAACATTCGGAAACACAACAGTGCCATCACATCTCATCGCATTTGCATAGTTTGTTACCAATGCTGGACTAGGTTATGGATTTGGTTCCGCAAATGTTCAAGATTTGTGATAAAATTTCCTACAATTATGGTTCATTCCAATCCACGAAATACATGCACAGCTTTATGTGATCTATATGGCCAAGGCAAAACTACCCCAAGTTAATGAATTATCAAGTTAGAACAGGATGATTAAATACATGGGTCGATGTGGCAGTAGAAGGATTTAAAATTGCTGAGATCGAATCAGAAAATTGCTTTCTGGAGAATCAGATATTTTTATCAAAAAAAAGATGAAGATTTACTTATAAATCCGGATACACTCTGAATGATTTTCCTAAAGCAGATGGAATTAGTGGTTAGTAATAAATATTGACTATTTCCGTAACATGATAGACTAATATTATGAACTCATTCTCCCATATAGTGAAAGTGGCTTTGGTATGAAACAAACTCATTAACAAACAATTTTAAGACTCCTAAAAAACCTTTTGGGCAACCTAAAGCTGATAAAAAGAAAGTTGGAAATTTGTGTTAAACGAATTCATCAATGACGTTTTTTAGGGAACACAATCATCATACTTATTATTGCTTATCCTCCCTTCATATAACTAAGATTTTAATGACTTCACTCTATCCAACGCAGTTAGCTGAATTTGCATAAAACCTCAAGATTAACCGTCGATTTCGACGGGGTTCCACTAGTCAAAATAAACCAATTGCAAAATCATTGTCTTTAAACTGAAAATATTATTAACATGGTAAAAAATACAAATGTTTGTAAAACGAGCTAAAACTACGAAATGAAAACTAAACCGAAAATTCTTTACAAACTTAACCCAAAATAAGATTAGTTTGTTCGTATGAATAGCATTTATTCATAAGAAAATGTCTGGAAACATAAAAAATATATATGTAGCTCACATATGTAGAGATATAGGCGAATATGCACTGAGGATAAGAGCACTGCAGTAAGCTCTGTAACAGCCACAACACAGAATGTTTATAATGCAATAATTGTAGTACATAAATCACGCTTTCCCCAGAGGCTGTATGGTGTTTGTCCCTACGTCTACAGATAAGGTACAGCGGCTGATTATCGTCGGCCGCTTGTCATGGGCTGAGACAATTACGTTGAAATACAGTTCCCAGTGGATCTCTTATATCTTCTGTGTGGGGTGTTCAAATGAACTTGCAATACAAAGTATTTGGTACTCCTTCTTACAACAAAAACCTTACTGTTTATATATTTTGATACGCAACTGAACATTATCATAAGAGCTCTTCTCCTTATGGGCTTTTACGGGAGAAGCAAACCATCTTCGCAAACTCCGCCTCGATTAGATATGAAAGCTATGCAATATATTAGAACATTGATAAAATATTTACTTTCATATTGTCATGAGTTTATTTTCTGGGTAGCCAGCTGACCATAGTGCTCACCTTCAAATTTAAAGATGAATTTGCTGGTTCAATCTTGAACGAAATTGATTCTGGACTCAGATTCAATTTATCATTCGGTTATTAATAAATATGCTACTAATAAAAGGCCGACGTTGGATAGCAAAAATACCAGGGTTTGGTCATTTTCTTTCAAAAATATCTATTTAACAAAACCAGTATGATAAATTAACTAAACAACAACAATCCTTAGAGGCTCATTGTATATTTGTGATAACCTTTTAAATACATCATAGGTTGGGCTTAAGATGTAATACAGATTATACAACCGTTCTTAACTACATAATAATTTATCACATCCCTAAGTAGATAAAGAACTTAGACTTAAAAGACGCGCTTTTAATAACTCGCTAGGAAAATCTTTATCTAAGCTGGATTGTGACATATGATGAAAAACAGAGTAATCAACTCGTTTGAACGTACTGAACAAACAAATGTATCATAGGTATCCTTTTCCCCTTATTTTTATATCGTTCTAGTCAGCTACTGTCGACTAGTAGTTTTTAGTCACTAAGCTAAAAATTATCTCGGTGAAGTTTCTGGCTGTCTTTTTTTTGTTTGTCGTACTACAAGCAGCTGGGTTGTGTTCCGTTAACCATAGGTACTGACTTTTCTTAGGATCAAACAGGCGACATTCTAACTCCGGAATTAGCACGGTATATCAATTCAGCTTTATTTTATTTAGCTACCCCTATATCATGGGTCTTAGTCTATAAAAAATACAACTTTGATAATCATCCACTGGGTTCTATTCGCGGTTCTATATCATGACCCATGACAAGTTTTGTCACAAGTAGATATCATCAGATCCTTTCCACAGCAATGGTTGCATTATCAATAGCCGTATTAGTGCGAAAGTATGTTTGGACTAGTAGAAAAATAAAAACTCCATTATCAGGAAATCAAATCTATATAGTTTTTCAGTGTGTGTGTCTGTTGCAGTCCAGCATGCCGGAGTGGGTCAGTACGATACTCAAGCCCGGGGGACGAGTGGGCGCAGACCCAAGCCTCGTGTCCAGCGCCAACTGGGAGCGATGGGCCAAGAAGCTGGCTGAGAACTCCATCTACCTGCTGCCTGTGCGAGGCAACTTGGTGGACGTGGTGTGGGGCCACGCTCGGCCTCCCTACACCAGACACAAGGCCGAGGTGTGGCCTCACCAGTACGCGGGCAAGACGTGGATAGAGAAGCTGGCGTCGGTGAGGACACTCATGGTCGCGCAGGGATGTGATGCCTTCGTGGTGACTGCTCTGGACGAGGTGGCGTGGCTGTTGAACATCCGGGGGCGCGACACACCGTACACCCCGGTACTGCGAGCCTACCTGGTCATCACAGAGGCCCAGATCTCTCTGTACGTGCCACCGGACAAGCTGGGCGATGACGTCAAACAACAGCTACGCACCGACAACTGCTACAGTCCGCACTGTGCCAGGTGTGTAATCTAGCTTTCTGGGCCAGGTTAGTCTTGATCATTTGGATCATTAAGAAATAGTCTAGACCAAAACAGAAACAATGTATCTCAACCAATACTATACAATAGTCCATTCACAAAATGTAGGCAGTTTTAGGGGAAGAAATGTCTCCCCTCCACTTGATCCTACCTTTAAAACAACAGCTTAACAGCTGAGGTTTTCCAAAACGTCAAATCAGTCAATGGTGGGGGAACTTTCCCTCAAAGCGTCTACACTTTCTGAACAGACCATATTCTTTCGTGTATAATGTTAAAAAAATAAGCGCACACTTATTAATGGATTGCAATACAAACAAAACAATGCCAACAACAAACTGGGGCCCTATACAATATCTATAAGAAAGAGACTTGTTTTTTTCCATACATGCAGTCTGCAGATTAAACTTCAGCAAATTATACAGTAAATATTATGATAATACAATCAAACAACATCAAACACAATCGAAATTTGTTTTGTTTGTGGTGGTTGCAGAATACACAACTACTCAGCAATCTTGGAAGACCTTAAAACCTTATCACAAGTGTGGAAGAAGGTTTTACTGCCAGCTGAGGATGAGTTTTCACAAGGAGTCAGCAGAGCTATATACTTGTCGGTAAGCTCGTACTAGGTCGTGTATATATTTCAGAGAGTTTTAATTACTCAGAAGCATTATTCATTACTTAATTTGAGAAATAACTTAGGATAGACATTATTAATGCAAAGCTCTCGTATTACAAGCAATTAGATGACCTATTTCCAAGTGAAATTTATCCAAACGACTAAGACAGGATTGTCGATTAATTCCTCTAAGTAGTGAATTGATACTTATCATGAGAGTTATCTTGAGAGGTGTTGTATGATTTTAGATCCCAGTAGAAAAGCGACATGTTGCACCTTCGCCAGTCATGATCCTTAAGTCAGAAAAAAATCAAATTGAGATCAACGGAATGAGAAGATCGCACATACGGGACGCAGCGGCGTTTTGTGATTTTATGGCTTACTTGGAGGAAAAGGTACGTATTATCCCGATCAATTACCGGTAAGCAATATATGACATTGGGTTCACTTTTATACCCGGCTAAAAATATGTTTGGAATAAAACTACTGCACTCCACTTGGTTTACATACTATTTTTTTATTTATAGTCCAGTAGGTACCAACGTGAAAAATATCAATATCACTGTGTTTTGTTGTTCTTATTAATCGCTTTAAGGTTTGCTGTAGAATGTTCATAGGAAAAACTCGCAGATAAAGGATTCCACTTAAAATAACGTTTCTTTTGCAGATGAGCGACGGAGAGAATTGGGACGAGCAGAAAGTAGCCTCGGTGCTGGATCAGTTTAGAAGGGACCAGAGTCTCAACAGAGGCATCAGCTTCCGCACCATAGTCGCGTTCGGACCTCACGCAGCGTGGCCTCACTACGTGCCTACCAACGTGACTAGCCTGCCTGTGGACCGCTCCAGCATCCTGCTCATCGACTCTGGGGGACACTACCTAGGTATCTCAGCTCTAGAATACTAGGCATCAGATATAAAAACGTGTTTAGCCTGCCTGTGGACCGCTCCAGCATCCTGCTCATCGACTCTGGGGGACACTACCTAGGTATCTCAGCTCTAGAATACTAGGCATCAGATATAAAAACGTGTTTAGCCTGACTGTGGACCACTCCAGCATCCAGCTCATGAACACTGGGGGCATACTACTTAGGTACCTCAGGTCTTGCTTACTGGTCGTTGGATAAAGAAACGTGGCTTATGGACTAGATTGGGGATGATCTATAGAGCGCGAAACTGCTATCCTGGTATAAATACCGCCAATGTAATGGCTATGTAATGGCGCAGTGACCTTGGGAGAACGACGTTCAACCTCACAGGGGACCACCATATTGATTGGTCCAAGGTAAGACTAGGTGGAACTTGTACGGGTGTAGCTTTAGGACCAAGGAAGGAACTGGCAGTCATCTTATTGGCATGCGTGCACTCCAGTGGACGTCACTGTCATTTTGGTTTGTGAAGGTTGCGGACCTAATGGCTAACGTTGCTTCGTTAACATTAGTACCCCATTTGTATTCCCATTTATATTTGTACCCCTACCCTTCTGTGGCACCTCAGGTAAGTGCAGCTTCATCACTTAAAAGAAGAATATCAGAGAAGATGGGCTGAAGCACTGCGTTTAAGAGTAAGTAAACTCACACTTCACGCAACTTAAAAAACTGGTTGCTTCAGCAAGCTCAGACGCCCTGAGCTTGGATGGACGACAAATAAACAAGCAAGAAAACTGACCATTAGTAATGAACAGGTCAAAAAGCATTTGTATTGAGTAAGTTTGTATGGTGGTAACAGTTGACGCACTATTCAGGAAGTGTGACAGGTCAGATAAAACCAATGTTAACTTTCTTTTCGTGGTAGGGTAAGAAGATCTTTGGCAATCTGGTAAGAGGGTTTCACCTTCCTGGGGAGGAACTGATCGGTAGAATACAGTCGTTCATCGGTGCCTGAACATTGACGGTGTCTGAAGATATTAACCGATTGTTGCACAACAATCCGACAAATTCGAATGAAACCCCCCAGGGCCTTAGTAGTTGGCCATCCCATACGAGATAAGATAATATGCAGTGACCCACTGATTCAGTGCTGGCACTGATTCTTTCTTACCTAAGAAACAAAGATAAGGTAGGTTTTGAAGGAAGAAGAAAGAACTTTATCTTTGTTAGAGAACTCATTTTACTAAAAGCCGTAGAATTAAAAAAAAAATATTTAGAAAAAAGTCATTCAGTGATTTTTCTTAGCGGATTTTGAGATAATGGTGATGGAGCAAATTGATATTCTGCAACAGGAAATACGTTTTTATGAAACATTTTATAAATTTTCAGTTGTAATTCGGAAATAATTCGTTGTTCTTAATACTTTTGAAATATTTGTTTGTCTCAGACTGATAAATACAGTTTTTACTATTGCTACAAAATATCACATAAAGTGTTTCATAGAACACTTTGTAACTTAGTTTCTGTAACCCCACAGACGGTACGACAGACGTGTCCCGGACATTCCACCTAGGCAAGCCCACGGCCCGCGAGGTGGACATCTACACCCGGGTGTTGATGGGGTGTATTGACCTAGCCATGCTGCAGTTCCCTAGCAACCTCCCTATCCGCAGCATAGACGTGTTGGCCCGCAAGGAGCTGTGGACGGCCGGCGTCGACTACCGGCACGGCACTGGCCACGGCGTCGGTATCTTCGGCGCCGTCCATGAGTGTGAGTATGGAGCTACTTAAGGAAAACCCCATTGTAAGAATTGTTATATCCTTCTTTTATTTCATTACGTGGCATTCCCTCGAAAAAACAGTGTTCCGAAAGGCAACGGTCCCAAAAGTTGCAGCACTAAAAGGACTGCTCATAAAATGGGTTTTGGATAAGTATTTTTCAATATGTACTTCAGAGCTATGTATGTATCTATTAATTTTTATTTTTATTCCTACTATGTTATATAAGGATCCATTAACCCAACCCAAATACATTTTAGATCTTTCATTGTTGTCAAAATGCAAACAATATTTTGCTCTCTGATCTGCAAATTAATCGTATTCGTTTGTTATTGACACAAGCTTTACTACGTTTTGAACGTAATTCTTAACAAGAAAGATTTTAGAATAAAATTAAACTTTTTTATTTGTAGGCTTTCACTTTAAAATGTTTAATTATAGTGGTTTTGGGTGCAACCGCGTTGTCAGTTGGAGGAATTAAGGCCTAACCACTGAAGATACCTCTTCAATGTAAGGGCGTCTGATCTTCAACAACCAACGCTGACAACATCTGTGAATTGAAACTATCATTTTCTTCCTTACTGCTATTCGTACTTTTTTCTTCTAATATTGATAAAAAGTGTAAAGAGAAAATTTATCATAGCACAAAACTAAAACACAATTTTAAACTTCCTTGGATTTAACTGACATCCCCATGTCAAGAAATTGCAGCTTTAACAGTAACCCCACAATCAATTTCTCAGAACTATGCTAGAGGGTTCATTCATTGGCACAGAAGTACGATATGAACTAACGCGACATGACGAATGAAAAATCAAACTTACATTGTAACGGATATACCTCTCTTTGAAATTAGAATATGTCTTCCCAAAAAATATTTTCTTTTCAAATAAAATCATATTACACTGATAACGTAATATCCGTTCCGTTTGGTCACGAAAGTGTTTAACTACAAAAGATCTACCAATACGATTTCAATACTATTTAAAGGTTCTTCCAAAGGAAGAGATGTCATATAACATACTAATAATAACACCGATGACGTACGATATGGGGAATATTTTATTCATTGAATGATCAACAAAATTTGGCAACTAACGCAATTAATTAATATTATTATTGTTTTTACACTTATTAGGCCTACAGTTTAAACAATGCTAAATGCTCAAAATATGTATATTTCACCCAATTTATCGCAGTTAGATGAATTAACGTCAGCCTTGAAAGTAACCGTCGATTTCGACGGGTTTCACCTAGTAATTTCTAATAGGAGTTACTTGATTGATTGAATTCAGAAACAAGTGCACAATGCAATGAAATGTTATTATTACCTAGGTGCGTCTTTGACAAGAAATTAGTGTTAAATGAAGTGGGATGCCTTTTAGTGAAAATGACAATAATTACTTTTAAAGGGATGCTAGGAGGGAGGTAAAATTTTAGTGAAGAACTCTATCAGCTTCCTCACTGACCACTGACCAATGCAACCACATTACTATGGTCACTTACCACTTGGTCAATATCACGTGGGGATATGTGTTTAATATTGGCTTTAGTTCTCTACTCTTTTAATCATTTATGTTTTATGCCTTTGCAGCACCAATAAATATACACTGGTGGAGTAAAGATTCAAAGACGTTCAAAGTAGGATATTTCTTCACAGAAGGTGAGTGTAATTGTAGCGGTTGACTTAATTTATATAGTTATTGTTAATGCTGACTTTTTGTTGTTTATTGGTACTAACTAAGGTTAGTTCGTTTTGAAGCTCGTTCATCTATATATACTATTAAAATCTGTGTGTGTGTTTGCATGAGCCAAACTCAAAAGCTACAGAACTGACTAGGCTCAAATTGGACAAAAATAAAGCTACAGCTCCGAAGATACATAGAACTATTCCCGCTTCGATATTGACCTAGGACTCTGCCATGTGGGCTTTCAAATTTCTGATGTGAGAGGCTCTTAAAATATCGATTGGTTTCCATAACAATAAAAATTAAACAACAAATTTAAACAAGCAGAACTGACAAATAAAATACTTATCCCACAATTTCAGCAGATCCAAACAAATTAAATAAAAAATTTACACAACTATGTGGTTGGTTCATTTAATCTTAAACTTTATCATCGATCTTTTTTTAAACTATGCTACCGGTATTGATTATGGAAATAAAACTATTCCATAACCGAGACTGTATCAACCCAGGCTTTGCATAGTTTTATAATTTAAGATTAAAATAAATTTAATCATTTATGAGATCGTTCCAAATGTCAAGATATTATACGATATTAAGGGGGCACCCGTTCTTCTAAACTGAATTTTCTTTCCGTTGCGAAGCACGGGTACAGCAGCTAGGATATTATAAATGTTACAAAGTCACTTGGCATATCTATATACCGAATAATGACGAAATCAATATACAAATTTTACAATTTTGTTCTGTAATGGGTTATTCTGTGTTGACCGATATATTGTAAGACTAAAATTATAGTCAAATATCGATAAAAACTTAGAAAATGTAATCTCTGACCTGGAATACCTGCATAAATTTTCTTTCAAGTATGTATTTTACGGCACTAACTGCATTTCATATAAGTAACAAATTATTTGATTAGAGGAAAATATAATCGGTTCCTTTTTTGAAGAGCATGTCGACAAGAAAACTACTAAAGTTTGATAAACTCAATAATCTCGTACAACCTGAGTTCGTATGGACAACATTTATGTTTAATGTACAAAACTCAAAGATTGTGTGCACAATTTTCTACTTAAAACTAAAAAATGTTTCTATAATCAACAAGATTTCATTGTTACAGAGCCTGGATATTATCAGGAGGGCCACTTCGGAATCCGCTTGGAAAATGTTTTGGAAGTTGTAAAAAATGATATGGTGAGTCGTATTTTTGTTTAAAAAATTACGTTGAACAATACACAACTACATAATGCCTAGCTATGCTTTATTCCGATGAAACAACGTATGGTTTTATACATGTAAAATTTTGTTAACGCTAAAATGTCCTTTGTTTCAGAACTCTACGCATGGAGCATTTCTCAGTTTTCGTCCGGTGACATTGATGCCTTTCGAACCAAAACTGATAGATGTGTCAAAGCTGAGTCCTCAACAAGTAAGTTTATACTTTTATATTTCCTGAATGAACTTACCAATTTACTAACTTACAAACCAATATGGTTTTTGAGTACACATTTTAATTTATTGGCGGTAGTCTGAAGGTAGATTTATTGTTCCCTGAAAAGTAAAACCTTACGAAAGTAGTTTGTTATAATTCATAAATGTATAATTAGTGATTCGTAAACTGTGCTTAGTTTTAAAAATAATTGTAACATTTTCTGGGACGATGTGGCACTAAAACTTTACCAAACAAAGCGAAACTCTTAGACAAATGTTTAACTACAAAAGTCTCATCTTAGAAGATACAAAAATTAAATATTTTCTTTTTCAATTACACCGAAACTTATTCATCAACAACGGAATCAACTTCTATTACTTCGGGCATTCAACCAATTCCAACGTTTTACGGCCATAAACAGCTCGAACAGTAGGGGATATATTAAAATGTCAATTGACTTGATATTTTCAGAAAAAATGGCTGAACGACTACTACACACGCATCCGTACAGAAGTAGGCAGGGAGTTGAAGGCTCAGCTGATGATGAAAGGGTTCCATTGGATGATGGACAGAACGCTTCTGTTCCGTCTCAACGATGGTGTCAGCTCCAGTGGTTCGTCCCTGTTAGGAAGCTATTTGTTGTTACATCTTACTATTTGTGCTTTCATATACATATGGAAAACTGGTCCTTAATGTTGCATTACATTTTATAAAAATTATGGAACACCGGAATCGTAATTATATCACCGTCGTGGTGAATGGTCTTGAGTTTGAATTGGTTTTGATACCCAAAACCTTTACAGCCATCAAAATAAATATTTTAAAGAGTTACATGAATCAAATTTATTTAAATCAGTACAAAAAAAGTGTTTTGTATGTGATAGCTAAATCTTCCATCCCATTATTTATTTTTCTATCCAATTTTCCTTTTTCTCTGGCTGAAAACTTGTACATTCTATCTGTAATTTAAAATACACACTTCTTGTAGGCACCACACATTTGAAACTTTAATGTTGGTTTACAAGTTTGAAATACTACTTGCCTTTAAACACCTAGCGTACAATTTCGATTTTGAAATTATTATCATTTGAAATTTGTAGTAAAGGATAATAGCCTTACGATAGAAAGTGTAAAACTGTTTTAAAGGAAGCAAACCATAGAATAAACTTAGAAATTGTTTACAAAAATCACAATTATCAAACGTTGTGTTTATTATATACAATAATTTACAATATAGTCGAACGACAAAATTTTACCTAACAAATAAGTAATATTTTGGATAAGAACTCATCTGTAACAAATATCGTCGTAAGGTATCTGTTAGTCAGGTTTGGGTTAGTCAGGTCTGTTAGTTAGGTTTGGGTAAATAAATGTTCAATCTTTTACCAGTGATTTAAGTGCAATACAAATCATAAATGGGTAACAAATGCTAAACTTTGTTATTACCTATATTGGTTACTGTACGTGGAAATAGGTGTAAACTAAAACGATTTTAACTCGTGAATGTAAGAAGAAGGCAACAATCTTCTCCGAAGGAACATTGTAACGAATATCCATAAACTTGTGATACTACTTTATCTGATATTATGCGCATTTCAATACACAACAGTATTTGTTTGTTAAGACATCAGTTCGGGACCAAGTCAGTGAGCGTGCCTTGCGTGACCGTGCCTTTTGTTCACTGGTATCACTGATAACTGATCATTTCCAATGACTGACTTTTGGAATCTTGTTCCCCAAATAAAATCAAACTATGTTTTTTTTTTAGATTTCTCCAAACATAATTTTGTTTGTAATTTTATGAAAATATTTATAGTAATTATATAAAATAAGATTTGATTTCATGTTGTTAATTTATACTTTAGCCATTTGAAATTGCTATTACTTATTCAAACTATCAATTATCCTAAGCTTGTTAGGTTTGAATTTTAGTTATTATAATTCTAGCCACTTTTAAAGGTATTAATAATTTTTAGTGTTGAATGTTGTTTAGGTATCTGTTAATTTAATTTAAACTAATTAAATGTTGTGATATAATTTTTTGTTTACTAGTTTGAATTTAGATTAAATCATTTTATTGTTTTAGGAGTATTTGCGTTTTTGTCTATGATTGTACATAACTATAAACGGCTTTAATTGTGTTCAACAAATCCGCATTCTTTAAAACAGCTGGTTAGTATTTAATTTACATTCTCTGAGAAATATTATTTTGTTGTATAACATTTGATATTTTCAAAAACTGGTAATTGTATTTTAGCTTCTATTTCAAAGTGAATATGTGAGCTACGATTGTTCTCTAGTCCACACTGTTTTAATATTAAGTGCACTTTGTGATTTTAGAGTTTATTTAGATTTAGAGTTTTTGAGATATGTGTAGTTTACTGTTTACTAGCTGGACATGTGTCTATAGTGACACCCTGGGATTGACTCTGTTATTATTACTTTAACACTTGCACAATGTTACTAGAATGAATATGTGAATACCACATGTGTGATCGTTTGAACTAATATTTTTGATCACATTCATATTATTCAAGGAAACATTTTTTCATCTACTTAACTACGTTTAAGACTGCGGTCTACCTCCTGCTGTAATGATCTACCAGCAAAGGTCCTAAATTTCACTTTTAAAACTGATTTTGTTTGTAAAAGTCTAAACTATTTCTCACTATAGGCCTACTTTTGCTAATAACTTAAAGTGAATTTCTGTTTATAATCACTATAAAGAATAATCCCTAAGTATTGATAGAAAGCTAGATCCGACCTAGAGCACCGTTCGTTCAAATTGTTATTATTATGTACGTCCTTCCAATCTCCAATTTTACTACGGAGGTAGACCGCTTCTCTACCATATTTATTCTACCATAGTAAACGATTAACATAAAGTTTAACCATCTACATAATGTCCAGTTTGATAGCTATAACGAAATATAATTTTAGCTAAGTGTCTTATTCCAATAATTAAAATGTGATAGTTTTGTAGGGTAGTGCCTTATCTCTTGTACTTTCATTGTATTAAGTTGATTTGTATATGTTTTATCATTAATGTACTAATACTAATCAATTGTCGGCTTGAATACGATTACGTATGCATTTTTCTACTTTAAATTTTAAAAATAGTTATTGATAAAAACTTACTAGTACTTTATTAATGAGTGTCTAAATAATTTTAAATGCGAGGAAATTCATAATACCTTATCCAGTGTTTATAAATTTACAAATATTTAATTAACCACACATCAATACAAACAAATGTAATTAAATTCCTAGATAGTAGTTTTCATCAGTAGGAGCGAAAGTGGCTCTTTTTGGTACAATTAATTACCATTAAGACACTAACTTTTGCTCCGTGTGATATACAACTACTTTCACCATACTGTGGAAATAAGCTTGTAATCGTTATAAAATTAGACCACATAATTTGAGGTTATAAAAAGTAGTCATCAATGTTTACAATAATGTTGTTCACGAACATAACTTTAAATATTGTGTGAATAGCAGCGTTTTCATAATACACTGATACAATTTTGATGTTAGCGAACCGAAAGATTTACCACATATTTTTTCTGTTCCCTATTAGAAGTTACCTGAAAACGATGATTATGCTGACGATTTATACAACTAAAAACGGCTGCTTTCCGGACAGTAGATTAAAACTGACTATATTTGATTATCTGAACCAAAATTACTAATATGATATAAATATGTCATAAACTTCAAATATTTTGTTAATTGTATTTTTAGTATATTATTTGTTGAAAATAATAAGTGCTGATGAGTAGTTGGCATAAGTAAAATTTAAAGTATAGTGCCTTGTTATATATGCATTCGTGTTGTACTGTTATGTATATATGTTGATAATCAATGTTTCCATGATATTTTAAATAAAATATGAAAAATAACGTGACTAGCATTTACTACCTCAACGGTCATAATATGCAATATCTCATGTGCAAGCAAAAAATATAGGCTTGGATAATAGTAGTTTACGCAACGATCGCGTAAAGATAGTCTTTAAGACTCGAGTATAAAACTTTTACCAGTGTCTTAAAGGCTAATTACGCGAATTGCGTACAATAGGCCTACTTTACCTACGGCCGTTTTTTTATATGGGCACTATGGGCATTTTCTTTAAATCGACGAAATAGCTGAGTGTTAAAATGAATAAAGATTTTGCACAGTAACTATTTGAATTAACAACTTCCATGGAGAGTTATTGAACGGTAAAGAGGAAAAGTCAAATATTTTTCTTACAAATAGGGCATACAAACTAACTTGGCGATGTTCCAACATAATACACCTCAAAACCGATGTACATAAAATTTGGCGGTTAATAAACCTCAGAATATGTAAGTCTGGTTTTGCTTCTTAAGCTTAGTTCTTAGCATTAGGCTAAGCCTCATAAAACTCCATTAATAATTTACATATTCAATGAAGACGGAGGTGTGATATTATTTGAGTTTGGAAAAAAATCCCCCGCAGAAGCAAACCTGCGGACTAAAAGAATTTTTATTTGTCTGGTTGGATTTGTATTCAAAATATTGTTTTTAATATACCCTATTTAAAGAACATTCGTTTAACAAGATCCAATGTTTGAAGTTACAGGGGAGCAAAGAAGTGATGTTTTTGAAACGTTAATAGTGTAAAATTTCCAAGTGTTAGCACAATAAATCCATAAACAAGGTACAACGGTTAACTTTTTATTCAAAATGTATAGTTTTTTGTAGTTTTCTCCGTAATCTTTAATCATATAGCGACCCCTAAATATAGGCCTAAAACATAATCTTTTAGGCACCACATGATGGTTGGAATAAAAATTGCGCATTTTATTGTTTTAAGGGTTACAATTTGAAAAAAAACACAAGAATTCTAAAATCCTATAACACTTTGTTCGTATGACCAGATCATGCTGGTTCGCGATATCATTCAAGTGTATCCAGCACTCAACGTGAATGCCAAATATATCAAAATCGGACCAATCTGGGGACATCAATATTACCATGTCCTAGTAATAGCCTCTTTCCTATAGAAAATTTTGCTAAAACGATCAGTCGATGCTGCGAAATATATGTAGGGTAAAGAATTAATTCTAAAGCATGCAAAATGGTTGCAGAATATTAAATACTTGACAATGAAACGTAAAATTATTTCCTGGCGAGAGTCCAAGATGGAGTGATACCGTCCACCGTTAGGCTGCTATCTTTGTTGGTGTTATTTTGGTTTTGTTGGTGTCGCTGCGGCATTGACACTTAGATCTCACAATTTTTATTTTTGCATACGTTTCCTTATAGAACAAACTGATTTCTATAAATTTCACTGATCGTATAAATTATTGTAGTGAAAATACTAGTTTTTTTTACCACACTTTGATGTCTGTAGCTTTTTTACATACGTTAATTGGTGACTGAAAGCTACGTTTTGCTGGTCATGCCAGCTGTCATTGTCATTTGGGGACCAAGCAGGTTTTTATATCCCTAAGGCTGCAAAATCAGCTGCCCGTTTACTTTCTTAAAACATTAATGCATATTAAATACACAATCAGTATCCATAGCATTGCAATAGAATTGTTTTATTGTCACCGCTGCCTAGCAACTATTCATTTTTATTTTTGCTGATTCCTCAAATAATTTCTTTGCATAACCTTAAAGTTTTAGTTGCGTTGACTATCAGTGTGCATTATTATTGTGGTGAATAGTGGTAATAGGGTATAGTGTGGTGAAAAATAGCGTTCGTACCACTCTCGATGGTTTTAAGTTCTCGACTTCGTCTCGAACTTAAAAAAAACTATCTCGAGCGGGCAAAACCTCATTTTAGGCCCTAGGTACGAAATATACTATTTAATATACAAATTTAAAGTAAATTTCTTAAAATGTTATTTCAGAATATGTTTGAAACATATTCGCACTGATAAGATCCATCCTATTATTGTGCTTAAGTACACAAAATATGAAACAAGCTATTAACATGTCAATCAGCGTTTCAATTTCCCTTTCAATTTATTAGTTCGATACTAGTTTCAATCATTAGTGTATTCGTTTTATTTGCAATACACAACAATTAAACTTTAACCTATATTATTAGAACAGAAATACCTAACGTGATTATTTTATAGTATTACTTTTTTGTTATACACTACACTAAATAAAATGTCAAAGGATGGTTTATTGTGAATCGTTGAAAATATTTGCATATGTAGTTTTAGTGTAAATGTAATTTAACCTAACAATGTTTTCAAGAGTAAAACAGTGCCTTAAATAGTGGTTGAGTCTAACCAAATTCATTAAATAAGTGAAATATATAGTGAAACAAGCAGTCAGAAGGAATTTATTCTAGTGTAGGCCTATTGAAATACCTACTGATGAACTACAATAGTAATTTTTCTGTTTTGTGAATACATAAAATTAGCCTACATTATTTGATAAGTTAATACTTAAGAGTTTTACAGAACTTGAAACTGTAAGGGATATAATAATAGGGCTGAATAATATTTTTTATTTATTTTTATTTTTATTTATTTTTTCCCTAATTTCATGTACAGGCTAAATATAAGCGTAATCTTGTTTGTTGTTCATGTTAATTTAATTTGAATTTAATTCTACCAGTCGGTCATCGGGACTGACGATGAAATAACTTGTCGACGAAGAGGCCTTTCGTACTTATCTATTTCATTTTAAAAGACGGCCAAGTGGCCTAACGACGAAGTGATTTGTCAATCAACTGGTATCCCCCATTGATTCTACTGAATTATACCGATTAGTTGTTCGTCTGTCTAGTACTAGGAGTATCAAAACCTTAAATCCATACAATAGTAGGGAAATTATTGATAACACCGCTTTTATTGGTAGTTACTACGTTTTTAATGCTGTCTATATTTCCCCTAAGTAAAGTT